AAGTCCCCATCAAAAGTGGCCTGTCTTAACGAGCCTGAAGTCCTGGATTCGTCAATATGGCCTTTCTCTATGTAAGGAGACAAGATGTCTCGCCGATGATGGTGGCGATGTTGTTGCTGGTGTTGGTTGTAGGTCTGTCCATGCTGCTTCTCCAATTGTTGGTGGTTCTGTTTTTTTTTTCCAGAATAGATGGATGGACGCTCTTGCTGCTGATGATGATGCTGAGGTCTTGAAAATGGATTACCGGAAACTTGTTTCGGAGGCAAAATACCTGGTGAGGTAGGTCGTGGCATCGAAGGCCAAGTGGACGCATTGAATAGGCTCGAAGCTTCACTCAGGTTGGTATTGTTGCTCAAGAGGATAGAATTAAGATCTCTGCATACTTGCCGAGGTGGTTCTGATATGTTGGATTTAGATGCAACAGGTAAATTGCTATAATCATGATCTGTCAATGGCGGCCAATTTTTAGAGTCATATCGGTCTGCACCATGGCTATCACCTGTACTGGCAGATTCAGTAAAGACGATGGGTCGGAGGACCTTAGTGGCCTCTGCAAACTTTTGAGAACGACCCATACCGCAAGAAGTATCTAACACAGAGTCATCGATATTCATGATTTTATTGCAAGGATAGTTATTCCGTTCACTCAAGTCGCTGCCAGCTAGAATCATGCGAACGTTTGCACCAGCCGAACTCGCTGCAGCTCTGATTGGGGGATGAAAAATTAATTGGACTGCCTTTTAGAATACCGTTAATTGTAAAAATAAAAATGAACTCATATTTTCATATCAAGAGTTAACTAAAAATTGTTGACAGAAAGTGACTCAGAAATTGTTTACTTGATAACCTCAAAGGTAAAATTAAATTAAAATCATAATAGTGTATGTGGGTGATGCAAAAGAATTTAGTCACCCTAGGCTGCCTAAAATGAACGATTGCCTAAAATGAATTAAGAACTGATAATTGGGCTTTTCCAGAGGGATAGGAGTAGGCCTTACGATTCCATTAAATCCCACTTAGTCTTGCCTTTCAAAATGATATGTAATCCAGGCTGGATTGTACTGTAGTTTAGACCTTGCCTAGCTAGTGCAAGTACCTCAAATGGGATTCGATGCCAAAATGCAAGTATTTTAGCAAAGTTAAATCTTTACTATGTAGCCACAGGTGTTAATCAGTCACAACTCAGATGTGACATTCAAATCAAGCCGGTCTTCTCGAAAACCATATTTCTAGTTCGATCGTCAATTAGGCAAACATCGATCTGTTACTGCAATCGACGATGTTCCTAATTGCATATGCAAGTAGGTTTGAATACTCAGCAATTCTTGAACAAAAGATTTATTACCGAAGGTATGAAAACCAAGATGGTTTGGTCTTTTGTGTGGTCGCAGTCTCCTTTCGTTGTATAGCGGTTGTTTGACCTTGTTTTCGCAACATGGTCATA